ATCTCCTTTCTTAACTTACCTTTCTCACTCCCAGGATCCCGTTGTTTCAAAAGGTTCTCCTTCTCCCTTCTAAGTGCCTCTAGGCTCGATTCAGCTACGCCGCCCGCACACTTGGYTTTGACCTCTTCAAGTTCCTTGCGGAGCTTGCTGATCTCGGACTCGTCATCTTCTGGAATCTCAACCTTTCTCCCCAACGCCGACTCACAGACTGCTTTCACACTCGTACGGACAATCTGCCCAAGCTTTGTTTCTTGTAACTCCCTTTCCTTCTTTTCCTGCACATGCTTCTCCTCCTCCACCTGAAGTCTCTTTTTCTCTTCTTCTAATGATGCCAACCGAGCTGCCTCCCGTTTACGCTGCTCTCTTTCTTCAACTTGTTCCGCTAGTAAACCATAGATGTTCTCAATCTTGTCGTCTTTCTCTCTAATATCTCGATAGCCTCCTGACSAGGGTCTGGAGTACCGCTGGCCATTGCCAAAGTGATTCCCACTGTAGCCTCCGTTACCACCTCGGCCTCCGCTCGAAGCTGCACCCTCTTCTCTCTGATTCCTTTCCATTGACGCCTGGTACGGGACGATGGCGTTGCTGGTGCTAGTACCTTGCGCGGGCGCGTGCAAAATCCCGCTATCTTCTCCGTTTGATAATTCACGWCTGATATTCGCCGCCATCTCCGCGCCATTGGGCCGATTACGGAAGGGGCATTCTCTGATGAAATGCCATGGTAACTGACAAAAATGACACGTAGTACGCCGATGCATCCTCGGCAAGCTCGAGASGACTAAAACGTCCTCACGCACAACAACGGCCATCCAACTAGTAGAAGGGAAGGTGACAGAAGAGAAGAGAAGAAGGGGAATAGTGGCAGAAAGAAGAAGAGTGATACAGGACAACGCAATACGTGATCTAACCCACGAGGTAAGAACATAGTCACACAGATGGGGTACATTTCCCCATTGGTTGTCTATGTGGATGTCACGGTAAAGAAAGTCCACACAACATACAATTGCCTAAGTGAATAACACTCAAGGCATATGAGGTGAGGTAAGCATGAGGAAGAAGGAGGGAAGGGAAGAAAGACAAGAAGAGACAAAGAATAAGAATCCGCCGAGCGCATCAGCTCGTATGATATTCTGATAAGCCCAAAAACCAAAAATAGGCGTTTCTGCCATAACCATGAAGAAYGCTGACGATAAACCGACAGCTGTTTCGACCAGTCGTCAGAGTACTGGCCCTCCTCAGGGGTTGCGCATAGGAATGATTAAGACATAGGAAGGACTGTTCTATTTATACTTAGAGATTGTCAACCTAACAGATGGTCCTACCACTAAACTTACCCTTAATGGTACCTGGACTATAGACCCTGTTACCAGCCCATCCAACCCGTAAAACAATTCACCCATTGGGACCATGCTTTCCCAACCTTCTCATTAAACTGCGTCAGAGCCCTATCAAAATAGAGGGCTGGAAAACGGCG